ATTGGTTAATACACAATAGTAACACTTATGCATCTATACCTGTTGGCCATTCTGTACATATGAAAGAGACCTATGAAAACCTAGAAATAGTGTTGAATAAAATTGGCTATTCGACTAATAGTTGGATGATATGTGGTGACTTGAAAGTAACATGTATGCTTCGTAGCAAGGCGATTTTACCAAATTTCTATATTTTTGGTGTGAATGGGACAGTAGAGCAAGGGATCAACATTGGTGCAGAAATAACTGGCCTGTGAGGGAGTCTTTAAAACCCGGTGATAAAAACATTATTTGCAAAAAAACCTTGTAGATCCTAGAAACATTATCTTACCACCTCTACATATAAAGTTAGGCCTCATGAAACAGTTTGTAAAGGAATTGCCTAAAGATGGACCTTGTTTCAAGTATCTCTGTCAGAAATTTCCAAACCTTTCAGATGCTAAACTTATAGAAGGCGTCTTTTTAGGGCCCGACATTCGAAAAATGCTGTTCGACGTAAACTTTGAAACCATAATGACCATACATGAGAAATAAGCATGGATATTATTCAACCAAGTTGTTACAAAATTCTTCGGAAATGCAAAAGACCCAAAATATCGTACCATTGTAGCTAACATGTTGAAGAATTTTTAGAAACTGGGATGTTTGTTGAGCCTGAAAGTCCACTTCTTGAACAGTCATCTTGATTACTTCCCGGAAAATTTGGGAGATGTTAGTGAGAAACAGGGTGAGTGTTTTCACCAAGATATCAAATTGATGGAAAAACGTTACCAGGACCGCTGGAACATCAACATGATGGGAGACTTCACTTCACCGTGAAGCTCAACAAGCGACTTGTAGGAAAAGCTACACCAGAAACTTCATAGAAAAAAGAGAAAGGAAGTATAAACCAATTCCATCTGACTAGTGAAACCTACATTACAACACTGTATCATTATTTCAAGTAACCTACTGTGAATAAAATCCATGATAGTGATTCAACATAGTGTTTCATTAATTTTAACATATACCGTACAGATTTTAAATTATATAAAAATGTCAATTTCTCAAAAACTATGGGTGATACAAAAGAACTAAGACCAGATTTGGATTCAGCACACAAAAATCTATAAAAATCAGCTAAGTTTTCAAAAACATTTTTTTTGTTGGCCTGTGTAACTTATAAAGCTGAACAACGTCTGATGGGTCATCTAGTATAATCTAATGATTTGAAACCGACAACACAGTAGAAAATTTTGATTGTAATTTGAATCTTTGTTTCCATTCAATGAAAAAAATTGAACAGTTCTGTAATTTTCAGGTGGATATTTGTCTAATAGTTTGGCGATAGCATCTGACGCAGCCCATTTACTAACAGACTTTGCTAGTTTTATGATATCTCTGTTTGCGTTGTATATGGCCAATCGACGCCCAACGAAAAAAATGCTTTTTGGCTGGTATAGAGCCGAAGTTATAGGAGCACTAACATCAGTACTAATGATTTGGGTTGTTACTGGTATTCTTGTTTACATGGCAGTCCAGAGGATTATGAACAAAAGTTACGATATTGAACCCAAAATTATGCTAATAACTTCTGGAATCGGAGTTATCGTGAACATTATGTGAGTACAGTAAGGTTAAAGGATCTTCACACATGTCATCATTTTGTGCATCGGAAATAAATGGACAATTTAATGAAAGTGAATCAACCTTGTTATTGCTTTGAATAACTCAACCTTTCAGTGAATTCCTACACAACCCTTTTTTTGTATCAAGATGGAGTAGTAGAAAGCCAAAAACTTTCTTTCCCAATAAATGGATAAGTACTATTCTGATCATTACCATATTGATTTCAATTTAAGAGCTACCGGTAGACAGCTGTTTCAGCCTGTTGGGCATCGTCAGTACCGGGCAGGCGGTCCTCGATTGAATACAAAATTTGAAAACAAAAAATAGTACTTGATAAAAGTAACTGCGTAAACGCAAGCGAGACATAAGTCGAACCACCTATTGGTGTGACATCCAAATCGTCAACTTGCCAAGTTTTATATATTGAGACCTTGCATGCCTTTCTGAAGTCAATGCAAAGAGGATCCTTATAAATGTTGATTACTTCTAGAGTCTTTCATTAACTATATTCGAATGATCTGATATTTTGTCACTGCAATATCCATATATGGACTAATTCGATGGTGTTTTGTGTTGAAGTGCAACTCTTTTTGTTATTTTTGGAGTCTGCCAGTTTGGCCGATATATACCTGATTGAAATTTGCACAAGAAACAGTATAGTGAAGATGCGAGGATGAAAGACACATGGCTTCCCATCATCATATGAATGATTTGTTTATAAACTTCATTAGAATACGTGAAAACTGTAGAATAAAAAATAACTAAATATAAAAATGTCTTCCTAATGTTGTTTCAAAAATAGACTTGGCGTTCAGACTTGAAATATCAGCTTACTCAAATATAGTTCATAAAAGATTATTTCTAGAAATAACGCAACATTTTTATAAGAATCATCTTTGAATAAATTTTACAAAATTTTTTTTTGGTCTAGTCCACTGTAACTTCAGAATATCCTTCCATTTATTCATTATCGCATTCCAGATTTTCCTCCAATCAGTTGCTAACACTATTGGAGGGTCTCTCATATTCCACAAGTTTCAAAATTGTGGCATCTCAAAATTTTTGATTTCTGTTTCTGTGATTACGATTTCATTCCAGCAAAATGGTGATTGATTATATCGATAACTTTTTCATTTTTTTTTTCATAACTGAATGCGTTTTTCAAATGTATAACAATTGCCATGTGTACGGGAACTGAATGAATGTTTCTTCATCATACGTCAGTAAGGTGTTTATTTTTACTCCCTTTCCGTAAGCATAAATTCACCTATTTGAGTTCTTTACAATTTTACATCTGCATTCCTCTTGAATTCCTAAATTATCAACTAATTACATTTTGTTCATTTACTATGTGTCCAAGATGGGAAAATCGGAAATCATAAAAGATACGAAGTCAGTTGAATTAGGAAAAGTTCGCACATTTTGAAGATTATTCATGTGAAGTTTTAAAATTCACCTATTGTACTATTATGCAGATATAATAATGAAGTTATCATCAAAAAGGCTAACACATTGATTCTTTATGAAGAAATTGAAATTGGTGATGGTTTCTCGGAGACGAAACGTCGGATTGAAAGTCTGTAGACAACTTTTACAGCTTCAAAAGTGGCAATATCTTCCTTAAAACATACAAAATGGTGCATTTATAATTTTTCCGAACATCATTGGAACTAATCGAAATTTTAACTTTTATTTCAATTCATTGCGATGAAAAGTAAACGAATATACTAATCATTCAGCTGCCTAAACTTTTTTCACATTTTACTTGAGACTTTTTGTGAAGTAACTTCTGGGTTGTTTTATTTCATTTGGAATCAGGATAGAAGTGTTCTCACACTGAAGATTTTTTTGTTTAATTGGACCTTGTTCCTCTGTTCAGGAAACAAATTTAAATATCTCCTACCAAGTCGACCAAAAGGCATGAAAATATATTCCATCAGTTCAATACATTTCCAAGAAAGAAAAATAAATACTGCATGAAAATGAACCCTTTTGGACTATTGAAACAAAATCTTACTGAAATACAATTTTACTAGGTTTAATTTGACAAATATGGAAGTTCAGTTCACGACATAAATGAAATTGTTAAAATATGTTGCAGGTGCTGGTACCAATCCACAGAATGTTTTGATGGTTGCTACAAAAAATATACACGACAAATATAGTTTCTTCGAAATGACACTTCAAATAGAGGAATTTCAAGATATCATGGAAGATTGCATGCAGTGCAAGAATCCTGATTGACGTTATTTTTCGTTCATCTGTTGTTTTGTTTATTAAAATAACTTTCATACATTTTTGTATTATTGTTTATATACCTACCAGTTGAAGTGATATACAAGTTATCACTAGTGATTTATTTTTCGAAAAATGATTCTCTAGAATTATCAAAACGTGATATAAATTGGTTAAGGCTTTCGCGGCCGAGATTTTCAGTATTACTATCTTCATTCAGGTATGAAGGCCGTCGTAGTTTTGATCTGCATCCTAACGTTTCGCCAGCACGAGTGGCTGACTTCTTCAGAGGTTTATTCATCTTTATGATTCACCGATGAATTTGACACAAAATATAACACAGGAAAAACGACGTTTTAAAATAAAACAAATGTCTATTATAGTAAGTAGGCCAAGACTCGCCGAACACACACTCTCTTTGGCAACCTTGAGGTGTCTCCCGGTGGCCTCCGCGAAGGTTTTGGAAGGTGCAGCGATATTACTGTCGTTGCGCGGCTTCTTCAACCGTCCTTCTTGGAATTCCCTCCGTGGAGGTGCACAAGTGAGGGAGCTTTCCTGCAGAGGCGGCCGGTTCTTGCCTTTATTCAAGGCGGAGCTCTTGGCGCCCGTCGCAGGAAGTGCACTTGCTGGAGGAGATCTGCTATGTTCAGCCTCATTCCAAGCGGTAGATTGGGGTGGACATTTCTGTTCATCCCCAGCCACCGCCTTAGATTGAGGTGAGCACTTCTGTCCAGCCTCGAGATTGGTTTTTGTTTTGGTTGTTTCTGTTGTTTCATTCATGTGTGTTCCCACGAGTAGCAAGGAAAGACTTGGTCACCTCTGGCAGAGCCCCGCATTACCAGAGATAGGCTAAGTACAATAAGGTTTCGTCCATTTCCCCAAGGGGATCGTTCGTGGCCGCATATCATCCTGCGGCCATTCAGCTGTCGGCACGATTTCTTACACCTTAGCTTGGGTAGGCTAGTCCACGGTGGCATGTTTTGCAAAGGCTTTCGGAGGTTTCAGTTCCCCTCACCTTACTAATTTCTGCCACTAACACATTTAGTTATCAGAAGATTTCTGTTTCATTTCTATTCAATGTGTGAGAGAGTACTGTATGTAATAATGAAATATATTTGAACATTGCTGAAATAAATTGATTCCTGATGCAAATTGAGTGAATTCAAATAATTCTTCATCAATATTATTTATGATTCAAATGGCAGCTGCAAATTTGTATCTATTTTTCCATATCTTACTCATAGAATTCAACGTATCTTATCATTTTGAAATATTCTGTGATATTTTTATTCCTCTTGAATTCTTGAACTTTCTGTTTCTCAATATTTACAAGTAAACAAACGTCATTCTAGTTGCTTTTCGTACAAATACTCTATACAGGGTTATGAGGTCAAAACAAATATATTAAGACTTCTTGCAACAGAATTCCGTGTATGTGATACGATTTTCTGTAGTGTTCATGTCATTAATTTCTTGTCAGCATCAACGCATGAAATAAAAAAAAAAAATTTGGTAAATGTCAGGAATAACTCCCTCTCATATGCAAGTTGCAACATTTTTCATCATAAGTAGGCATTTGTTGAATTTTCAATTTCAAATCGAAAATCAGAAAAGTATATTATCAATTCAGATGATAAATGCTTCAAGTGAACTCAAAAAACTGGAATTGATATCATAGCTTTAAGATAAGTCGATGAGTATTATTTCACTTTCACCAATGTTAATTCAGTATATAGTACGAATTCAAAATCAATAAATTATAACAAAATTTCAAAATATCGCTTTTTAGGTTCAGTATACCCGAAGCCTACAATACATCATTGGTGATTGTTTTTCTTCTTCAATTTTACCTTATGGTATACTGATTCGTTTTTGATTATAATTCAGAAAATAATGTCACGTGTCACGAAGTGTTCTGGCGATGCATTGAATTTATTGGAGCCTCTGGGGACACCCTACATTTTGTTTTATAAGAGAGAGGACATTGTTAGATCAAGATCTTCAGATGATGTGGTGCTGCAGGTTTTTCCGGGTTTTCCTGCAGCTGATAAAGCAAATGCGCCACTGGAATTAATGAAGTCGCCCCGGAGCAGTATATTTCACACCTTCGTCAGGACAACTACAATAATAAGATTATATATCTTGTAAAAAAATATATAAATATGGAGAACTTACTAACGTGAGAATAAAATATAAAATGGTTCAAAAACAGATAGAAAAACATTAATAAATGACAGTTGATAAACATTTTTGGCTGACAATGTCAAGTGGGAAAATTCTGTATCATTCAGTGTGATAATTATTAATAAAATAAAGAAGGCATACTGGCATCAATTTTCAGATCCTCAGGTAGTCAGGGACATCTGTAACACCCAAATTAGGATCTGTTAAAATCTGAATATGAAAACTGTTTTCTCTCTCTGAAGAAACATAATCATTAAAGAAGAAATTGAGTTTGAAAAATAGAATGAAGAGTTCAGGAACATAATGATAGTATATCTATAGTAGTATATAGTATATATATAGTATATATATATAGTATATCTATACTGGGACGGTGATCTCCATTGGTTTGCAAAAAATGAAAATTCACCCACAAGCTTCTTTTTTGATGGTGATAATTATCATATTGTTTTGAGTGGCACTCCTCACTATTATACCCTGTTATACAGTTTGGTAACAACAAAAGCGCAGAGTCCAAAGTCTGTACTTTCTACCCATAAAAGCTTACGAAAAACTTCGTATTCTCCACAAAAAATTCAATGTCCCTAATGTTGAATTATATATCTATTTCACACAAATTATCAGAAAACTCATTTTTCTCTTAAGTACTGACCATTCGTGCGCAATATCACATTAGGAAATACCACATCTTGATATGCGAATAATTATATAATTCAGTAAAATCTAATAGATATGTTAATGTCCGTATGTTTGATGAACGAATATGGAATTAATGAATTCGGAAAATTCAAGGATGTACTGAATAATGACTGTAAATCATAATATGTTACTAGGACCATATCGTTGATTGTATAGTCATTAGAGTTATTATTGTTTCATACACCCCACATTTTATGACCCTCGGTCGGTTATTGCAAAATGAAATTCAGATGTTTGCTTTTGGGTAAGTACTGTTTGTTGAAAATGTTATTTTGGAATTCATGGAAAGTAGCACATTTGAAAGGTTTTGCTGCTGAATTACTTTTTTGCTTTTGTTTGAAGGTGGTTGACAATTTAAAATCAATTTATATCATATTAGACAATGGAAGTTCGAACTGATGAAATGTACTTTTTTGCTACTCAACATTACGTGTTGCTTCTTATGGAATATATGGTTAGTGATAACGTTTTCAAATTTATATATTTTTCAATAAAGAATATCAATCGAGACCTGTTGAAATTAATATCGTTTCAACCTCACTATTATGAACAACAAAAACAAGTTCCTACTTAATCTCATCATTTTCAACAATTGTTTCTATCATAGAGTATTTAATAATATGTTTATGTTTTACAGCTCTCATTGATTTCTATGATTCTATAAGAATCGACTATTGTTTGTATGAATGATCACGTACTGATGCACAAGCGAGTAAAAAAATGATTTTTCATTTTCATCAGTATTATGGAAGGTCAGATTTAGAATGAGTTTGATAAAAAAACACATTAACCACATATAAAAACTATATATAGGTATGATTCGCCAACAATGGGTGAATGATTACTTTTCACCTTAGTTTTGTCCTCCATTTGAATAATTGGTGAAAGAATCAATACTCAAGTACATCTTGTTTGTGTTACAGAATATATTGGATAACCAAAAGGAACTTGAAACGTTCGTATTGAATAACATGCAAGACTAAAAATGTATCTTGGCAAATATGCTTTGCAGAATGTTCCTAGTAGCAAAGGCAACTATGTGGAATATCTTCTTCGTGATCTTGATTATCTTCAATTCTTGAATAGAACTGGCCGATACTTGGTGAAGTGAAAATCCATATTAAAACTCATTACAGTTTATTGTAAATTGATTTGAAATCCCTGAAAGAATCTATAAAAAATTAAAAAGATCAACTGAAAAATTACAATTATATCGAACAAAGAAAACCACCTTCAAACATTGAAAACTGAAACCACAATGAAATGAAATACAAGCAACAATCAAGAATTGAACTATCAACACGAACTAAATATTAAAAATCATTACCAAAAAATTAAAATTGAAAATAAAAAGATTCAAAGCCAAGTTACTTCAAGACGTTTCGATTGTTAGAATCCACAATCGTCTTCGGATGATGACTGCCGCCAACGTCATCAACATGAGTTCCCACCCTCTCACGGACATATAGGAATCCTTGTTAAGGAAAGGTCTGAACTTAGCCATTGTACCAACACCTCTGCTCACTCTGAAAATGATAACTGCAGTGAAATCAACTAGTTACCTTATTGATCACATCGAGACAGAAGAATTCAGATGGAAAATCTGAGAACAACTGGATCGAGACCCAGTTCCAACATCTAACGTCAGCAATTAAGAACGAAGAACTACGTAGGCCTACGTAGAGATAACACCATGAAGATCCTACCTGTAGATGAAGGAATCGCTACTGTTGTGATGGATACTGATCTCTACGAACAGAAGATCGAAGAGGTGCTTCAAACAGGAAAATACACGAAGATCGTACGATCGCACCAGACTTTGAAAAAACAGTCATCACTTGAAGACGATTGTGGATACTAACAATCAAAACCCCGTGAAATAACTTGGCTTGATATCTTTTAATTTTCATTTCTTGCTGATAATTTTTAATTTCGTTCGTAATCTTCTACTTCACAATTGGAAATAATTATCAGGCGTGATCATTTTACATGTTAGATTGATACTTCGAAACAAAATTAGAGAACAAAACGTACATCATCTTTCCAGTCTGTGATATGTTATCTTCTTCATTCATTTGAAGGCATCAATGCCTGTTCCTCAGAAAATAAGATTCAATATATTTGCGTTTATTACACTTCTTCACAAAAAAGTATAAGATTGGTGTAGTATTGACAAACCTCCCAGAGAGGTGTGAATTGAAATTGTTTACAATGAGTAGATGTACATTCATTGCATGATTGTATTTTTTCTGATATATGTAAGCAATGTACTCAATTATGGAGTGATGAGTCAGTGAGTCAATGATTCACGTCAATAATTCATTGCATGATTGTATTTTTTCCAAGATATGTAAGCAATGTCCTTACTTATGGAGTGATAAGTCAGTGAGTCAATGATTCACGTCGTGTAAATTAATGTTTTTCACCAACTTTCTTGCAAATACGGAAAAATTAAAAATAAAATTGCATGCATTTTTATTGAATGAATTTTACTACTCAAAATATGTCTCTTACTTCCTTATAAATCGCTCATTATAATACGCTGTAAGTAATTCGAACTTGGATTATATTGTGATGTAATTGTAATTGAGCAAACTACCGTTTTGTTATTAGTTATTATAAATACTATTTATTGCAAACATTTATACCCCCGCCGGTCCAATTCCAATACAATCATCGTAACAACCAAATTTAATTGATTTCAATATGAAAATATTTCATTAAATAATAAATAACACTTTTTGAGGTAACGATACTATTTACATAAATACAGAAATCTATATTTAATTTCTAAGGATATGTGGCTAGCGAATCAACAGACACTTACTATAATCTAGTCAGTTTTCTACGAGACAGAAGAAACGGTTTTCAAATTATCTATGAAGTGTTTTCTCTCATCTTTATGGCCTCCCAATTTATTTTCAATTTCAGCCAAACTTTTTCCCTTTGTTTCTGGAACAATGAAAATTGAAAATATGAGAGCACCTACTACAACGACACCATACATCCAAAATGTATAATGAGCACCAATGGCGTTCATGATTAGCAAAAATGTTTTTGTTACTATGAACGTACATGCCCAATTGAATGCTGTTGATATAGAGGCTCCTGCTCCTCTTATTTTAGCTGGAAGGATCTCTCCCATCATCAGCCATGGAATAGGTCCAAACCCTAGAGAGAATCCTAATACATACATCATAAAAGTAGCCAACGGCAACCAGCCAAGGGGTGTTACATTTATATCTGTTACATTTTTTATATAGAAGTATGCCCCTGCAACGACAAGGGAAACGATCATTGTTACACTGGAAATATACAATAATATTTTTCTTCCCAATTTGTCTATCAAAATCGTTGCTACGAATGTTGATACAAAATTGACAACTCCCACAATAACTGTACAAACGTTCTCATCAAGGGAAGAAACTGATTCTTTGAAAATTTTTGTTGTGTAGAATAAAATAGCATTTATACCACTGAATTGTTGAAACAGCATCAGTCCTAACACAATGCCAAGAGGTTTGAGATTACTTGCAGAGAAAATAATCATCATACTTTCATTTTGGTCATCCGACTTTTTTTGAATTTTTTGCAAATCTAAAAATTCTGTATCAATATTTGTGTCATTTCCACGCAACCATTTCAGGGCATCTTTAGCTTGGTCGTGTTGCCCTTTTGACAAAAGAAATTTTGGAGTGTCAGGAATAAACCAAATCATGATCAGGAAAGGTACTGTTAGCATGACTGCGATTAGTGCTAAATTTCTCCATTCTAGAAATGAGCCGAATAGAAAACAAACTAAAATTCCTATATTTCCCATGGCAGTGGGTAGAAGACCTAAGGTCCCTCTAACTTCTGGTTGTATAATCTCCGCTGTATATACGGGAACAGCAAGTGAAGTAATCCCAACAGCAATACCCGTTATAATTCTTCCAACGTAGAGGTAGATATAGGTTTGAGCGGAAAAGCTGATCAACCATGCAACAAGAAAAAAAATGTTGGTGAGGAGAAAGGTCCATTTTCTCCCAAAGTAGTCTATCATGGTCCCTCCGATGACACCACCGGCAAGAGCTCCAAGGGGCATAAAACTTGAAATCCATGACATCTGTAACAACGTCAATTGATTTCAAAACATGAATTTATTTGTCAACTTCATCTTACCTCCCCACCCTTTGCAGTTAAATTGAAGTCTCTTTCCAATGATAGCTGTGCAGGAGCTGTGTACGCTGTTGAATATCCTATGACGAGTGAAATCAAGGAAACGGAGAAGACTGCCAGCAACTGCAAAAGTATGCACATGGAATTTCATTATTATCAAATTCACAGCGAAGGAGAAACAGTTCTTTTCAAATCGAAAGAGAAAATCATCAACCAAAATAAATAATGATTATAAGAATATTTCTGATTCTTATGTGAACAATTAATTTTAAAAATTATATTCACTTTCGATAAAATATGTTCACAGTATTTTCAATACGTCGAATCATGGAAGTATAACATGATTTGAAACGAATTATTCAATTGGTAATTGAATAGAACTGGCCCATACTTGATGAAAATACATATTGAAAAAACTAATCAATACAGTGTATTGTATGATTTTCACTACAAAGGGTTTTACATAAACCGCGACCCGTGTTTCCCTATACAATAGCTTTATAGTGAAAATCATACAATACACTGTATTAATTAGTTTTTTTATTCAATTGGTGTTGATAATTGAATCAGAAATGGGGTTGTATTCAATGAATGGCACTCACTAATGACAATGTCAACTGTAATTCAAAATATCATGATATCAACATCCAAATAGAAAAAACAATTCGTTAGCATTTTTAGATACTACAATAATCAAAGATGCAAACCGAATTTTAAAGGTAGACTGGTATCATAAACCAACTTTTTCTGAAAGATTTTTAAATTATTTTTCGAAAAAAACTAAAACACCACAAGAAATACAATCCGATATTGTGTACAAATTGAACTGTGGAAGCTGTCACAAATGCTTGTTGGTCAAACCGGACGCTACATCAAAACACAATTTTCAGAACACAAGAGAGACTCTAAGAAACTGAATATAAAAAACCCCACAGCTCTCGTTGAACATGAAAAAGAATATGGACACATTTTTGATTTTGATCATCCAACTATTCTAGATGTTCAACCATATTTATCAAAAAGACTTTTGAGCGAAATGATACATATCCTCAAATGCGATAGTGTTAACATTAGAAGAGATGTCGATGGCCTTAATACTGCATACTTCAATTTGAAACCTGAAATACCTGAATAATTAACACTTTTTTCATTCTTTTTTTTTCTGCCATTCATTAAAAAACAGACACCACCTTATCAGAATCACATTCGTTTGTTTCATGTCATTTTGTGTTGGTGTTGTCTCGAAAATTTGTTGTTGCAATGTTTTTTATTTTCATTTTTTAAATACGTATCTAATATGTCTGATGGTTTTTGAAATAGTATTATCATCAATATGAGAAAACTGCTTTTCGGTGAGTAATTCAATTAAGAACTCATTATTTCTTGTGAAATTGAAACGATAATAATCGTATAAGTTTTGTGGGAGGTATATTTATGAAAATTCATTGTTACAGAGCCCTGAATAAGAATTTAAATAAATTCGGCAAGAATAAGATTAAAAAAAAAAAAAATTGATCCTGTTACCCAACTAACCTCTTTTTCAGAAAAATTATTATATCACAAAACTAGTTAACTGAATTAACAAAAATACTAACTGAATACTTTCAAAATATATTCAGACGGAAAAATGACTCAACGGAAGTGAGTCATACAAAACCAGTGGATATAAAATAAATGAAAGTTAGGAAAAATAGAGGGAAATATATTAAAATGGCAAAAACGTCAACAAGATTATTGTAGGAATCAGAATCCAAAAACGAAGTATTCATAATCCAACACCAAACAGTGCTATTTGGACCCGCGTAGGTCTTATCGGTGGAGCCGAACCACGCACACATGCACTGCTGGACTGAAGTGCTCCTAACGGAAAATTCTGGGTAAGTAAAGATGATGTCTCTCCTCACGAAGACGCCATAAATGGAATCGATAATAGACTCAATTCACGAATAACAGACGTAAATGAGCCTATCCATGCATGGATCGCCGAATGAAATTCTTCCTCTGTCTCCCACTGTAAGACAACTAGCCTTAATCAGAGCCCCAACATAAAGCATTGATCCACAAATAGCTGAAAACACTGTTTGGACTCACCAGAAGTCTCATTAGTGGTGGTTGAACCACAAATGCAATGTTCGACTGAATAAGAAAAGCCTGACATGAGTGAACATGGACATCTCCCATACTGGTAAACAGAACTGCAAGTACAACTCTTCAAGGCAGGGCCATTAGGTTCAGGGTCAACAGGGGCTGCCCTCAAGATGGGATACTATCTCCCCTTCTGTGGTCGCTCCTGATGGATAGTCTGCTTTATACCCTCGACAGAAGAAAAGTAGATATGCAAGCTTATGCAGACGACCTTTTTATCTTGGCAAAGTCCACGTCAGGAAGGGTAGCTTGTAATATCTTGCAAAGCACGTTGGACGTTGTTCACAGTTGGTGCCTGAGGGAGCAGATGTCTGTCAACCCCAGCAAAACTGTGATTAATCCCCTTCACCAGGAGGAGAAAAGTGGACGATCTAATGCCATTTTCCCTCAATGGTGGGGTCATTCCATCTGGAACAGAGGTGAAATATTTTCACATTGTCCTTGATAAAAGATTCACCTAGAAGGTTTTGTGGTAAAACTTGGGGTTTAGGTCCCGAACGAATCCATTGGATTTATGTGATGATTGCCAGACCAATGATCACTTATGATGCAATTGCCTGGTGGCCGAAGGCTTTACAGAAAACGGTTAAGGCGAATATCTCTCTGGCTTGCAGAGACAGGCTTGTGTCTGGCTATCAGTGGTGCCATCAGTACCACACCATCAGCGGTCATGGAGATCCTTCTGGATCTACCTCCTCTCCATATTTTTCTGGAAAGAGAGGCTAGATGAACTGCATACAGACTTGTGCACATTGCCAATTGCACAAATCAATGCAGAGTGCAACAGACTGTTGGTTGATACTGGAAGTCACAGCATTCTGGAAATGACCTCTGACTGCATCCAACTGTCAACTACGAACTGCCCTATAGAGTACTGTTCCCGAGTAGAGAGGACTGGATCCTCCGTGAGGAGGAAATATTAAGAGCTAGAGATAGTTGTTGGTTCACAGGTGGATCAAAAACACCCACCGGTTCTGGTGCAGGTGTTTTCAGTCGCAGAATCAGGACAGAGATATCAGCCTGCCTACGAACCTATGCGACTATATTTCAAGTGGAAATTTACGCTATTGAATTGTGTGCAGAAAGATTGGAAGAATCACACCTCATACACAAGTCAATGAAAATATTCTCGGGCAGTCATGTGGCGTTGGAAGCTCTTGACTCCTACCGAGCAACGTCTGAATTGGTAGCAAATTGCCAAAAACGACTCTTCTCGATGGGAATACTTAATAGATTGTCTCTGGTCTGGATTCTGGGCCATACTGGCCTGGAAAACAATGAGGTTGCTGCCTCCCTTGCGAAGGAGGGTGCTACAAGCAGCTTCATCGGACCAGACCCTGTCACTGGCATCGCTTTATGCTTTGCCAAACAAACATTGAACACCTGAATGACAAGAATATTTATGGACTTCTGGCAGAATTTTCCAGGATTGGCCCACTCCAAGACGTTTATTCACCTTTCGAAGTTTGATACCAAACAGTTGTTGGACTACAGTAGGGATGAACTACGATATTTAACAGGCCTTCTTACAGGTCACTGTCATTTGAATCATCATATGCAGAGACTCGGACTGTCGGAAGACAGTGTGTGTTGCCTCTGTTTGGAAAATGATGAAACAGCAGAGCATATACTTTGTGCCTGCCCCGCTGGGCACCGAATCAGGTTTTTAGAGTTCAGCAGAGCCGTACTCTCACCATCTGACCTGAAAGACCACTCATCATACAAACTAATCGGCTTCGTTAAAAAGCTGGGTTTATTTGGTCGAGTGTGAATATGTGTGAGCCACAATAAACCCTTGTGGGTTGCGATGGAGGGTCGAATAGACCCACTCACTTTAGACTTAACCTAACCTATTAAAAAAGCCTGACATGAGTGAATATGGACATCTCCCTTGCGAAAACGCATCTATGGGATCGACACACGACTCACTATTACCCGTCGAATTAGATTCGTCCTATCTTTCACTGCAGTGAAAGTCGCCATAGGTATCATCAGTGGTTCTAGACTGTACCAAGAATGCATTACTGGATCTGAGAAAGTACAAAAGAAGATGATATCTCATCTTAGAAAGACGCCATCTATGAGATTGATGTAAAACTCAATTCACGAACATAAACGAAATCCGCCAAGACAGTCGGTTACAAAGCCAAGCTTTGACGTCGATCGCCGAACGAGATTCGTCCTCCCTTCCACTGAATGGCAATTATAGTTGAAACCACAGCCCAAAAACAAAGCACCCGATACCATAGATGACGCTTTCAGAAAATCAACTGATTCAAGCGTATTTTGAAAATAACTCATTAAATGTCATTCCGTATATCATTATTTCAGAGTGATTCAAGTGATAGAAATGACTGTCTTTATTCACCCAGTTAGTGAAAACGAATGGGTTCATTTTGTTTAAATCACTTACTTGTGTTTTGATTTGTGAAAAACTAGACTTTGAAACTTCTCCAGTCTCATTCGGCTGTTGTTCCTCTTGCTTTTTTTGTAACGGCTCTATCTCCTGGATAGCCATCCGTATATTATTGTCCTTACTCATTTTTTTCTGAGAGTTGATTGTTGAATTGGACTGGAAATCTCCAAGGGAAGACAAGTTTGTGGCAGTCGTACAAGTTGATATGCAAGGGCTGTCTGTATTTTGCAGTCTCTGATGATTGCCATTCTACAAAACACATTCGATAATTGAACCTTGAGGTCAAAGAATTATTTGGATTTATCTACAGTACAGTTCCGGGAAGAAGTGAATATGAGTTTTACTATTCAATATTATGAATATACGGATAACCGACGACCTCAAACATGTTGTTTGAATTTGTTGAAAATCATGTTGACAATGATTATACTTCTCCTATAGCGTGTACGGATAGTGTTTTTGATGAATCCTTATGAAATAAACTCTTGTTATCCCTGCTCCAGAACAGTGTTTAGGAAATATGAGAAAAGGTCGATTATTTAAAAATAAGGAGTAAATAATATCTTATAAACCCTAGGTCTCATAGTTTGAACACTACACACAGTTAATAATCGGGCAAAACACTCAAGAAATTGGCAAGCCATAGACACGTGTTTTGGACTTTTGGCCCATCATCACTATTGTGCAGCCAAGTGTAAGGATGGGTTACCATTGGGTTACCAAAAGAAATAAATACAAATGCACGGAGCCACCAGCAGGAGCCAGCCGCACATTTATGGTTTCCGTTAATAGATCTTGTGTTTACAAGAAAACAATCAAAATCCATTCATTTGTATTTATTACAGAAAGGATTTGAAGTTTTATAACTCCTATTTAATTATATGCGAGCGCTTTCGATAGCAGGCTGTGCTATCATCTTCGTGGCTCTCCTCAAACTGCAGTTTGAGGATGTATCATACGATGATTATGTAAAATATTGGGCACATAGTGTTGGATGAACATTGGTTCAATACATTTACAAAAATTGGAAAAGGATGTCTAATATTTCATGAAACACGTTACAGTTTGAAATTATCAAAAGAGGATCTTATCCACACGTGTGAATTCCACAAGTCGCCTCTATTGGTTAGGACTGACAGTCACTTAATATATGTCAGTGGCAATAATAATAAAAATTGTAACCAACTTCGATATGTGTGTTCGTAGTTGCCTGAAAGTCTGAAACGGATGTGTAATCGAAAATTTCAAAGATCACATCAATTTTCATTTCTAGGCGTAATGATTCTGATATGAAAATCATACACGAAACTTCATCCCCCTGCGGTCAGCATCTACCCCCAATGGCATGGGGGATCCAGTGATACATCATTTGGAAGGTTTCTCGTCCCTCTATTACCTCTGTAGTTTTTTTCGAAATTGGTTCATTCGTTATTGAGAAATTAAATGTGGAACATTTCATTAAAAAAAAAAACAGAAAATTCGCTGTCGTTCATTTCAATGAGAAAATCAACAACAAATAATATCAGTTGTAACAAAATCAACAGATGAATTATTCAAAATAATCTCCACCTAGTCCCATACAACAATACAGTCTCTTGAAAGCGTTCCGTACATTATTCATGATATCCGGAGTCAGCAATCGGCATTCCCGAACAATTCTCTGTCGCAGGTCTTCTAGATTTGTACACTTATGACTTCAGGTGTCCCCACAGAAAGAAGTCCATCGATATGAGATCAGGTGATATAGCTGGCTACTCCTCTGAACCCCTTCTGCTGATCCAACGCATTGGAAAACTCACAGACAGAATCTCTACGACAAATGTCAGTCCGAACACTAAACTGTTCTCGTTCGACATAAAAAACATGTACTCCAACATACCAGTCAACGAAAGTATAAACATCATATCTGAGAAACTAAAACACCAAAACATAGACAAAACCTACATTAACCAAATGGAACACAGTCTAAATACAATACTTAATCAAAATTATTTCGAATCTGAAGGGAAAATTTATA